ATGGTTAAATGATTGGCTGGAATAGATTTTAAAAGAAGTGTTAGATAAATAGTGATTTAATGTCATTGAGCCAAAATAAATTGATGCATTCCTTTTATAGGAGAGCTGATGAAGCCTTCAGGTTTGAAAATATTCAAAACAAATTGCCCCAAACACCCCACTTCTGAATATTATTTTTCATTGGTGTGGCAAGGTTCTCAGTGATTTTCCTTCCTTTGCTATACTTTAGCTTTTCAACTCCTTTCTAATGGAAATTTTCGATATATCTATATCTAGATATACTCAATTGGATTATGAAGTCATGGTTGGGGAAGCCAGTTCCCAGGAATTCCCACCAGCTCAGGAACCCAGATTGCTCACAGATCATCCCAATTCTGCTTTCAGTGATTCCACACTGGAAGCTTGAAATCAGCCATGGTGGGAGCATTTACACAACAGAAAATGGCAAACATTACAAATTGAGGCTTTTCCCATCTCCCGGAAAGCTGGTTGTTCAATATTTACCAGCGCACTACTGTCTGTGACTCCGGCCTTGCTGTTTCTTTCAGGTGTGTCCATTAGAGGATGATCTTACATTTGACATTTAGAGGGCAATTTGGTGGCCTTATTTCTAAGATATTAGAAGGCCTCACACTTGGTTCCCAGCCCTCCTAATAAAAGGCTTGCCTTAGTAAGGAAGATTCCATGGACAATCATGGGATGCTGATCTAAGAGAGGCACCTCCCATCTTTCAGTGCAGTGTTCCCACCACACCTCTTACCTCTCAGAGCAATTGCTTATGTGTAGGAGTTGTTCCCAGCTAGTGGGAAGGATTTCATAATAAATCATTTACTCTAAGTGGCTAGTATTGACACAATATATTAACTCTCCTCATTCTATTTGTTTTCATAGCCTCCAGGAAGAGTGCCAAGTGGTGAGATTTCTGGCAACACTGCAGGCTGCTGGGGGAGTTATTGGGGAGTAAGGAGTATTACCAGAATTTCTGAAATAGCCTCAGGTTAAATGCTCACATTACCCTGCTAATTAATTCTGTAAGTCAGGAGAGAAGAAATACCCATAATAATAATAATGATGATGGTGATGATATTTCCAAAACTAATCTGTCATTGTCTTTCCCAATAATGTCCCAGGGGATTTCTCTGACTTTTGGTAAGCCTCAGATAGGAGATAAGTGGATAAAGCTCAATCAGAATCTCTGTGGCCCAATGATATGAAAATGTTTATTGAAAAATTCTTTATCTACAATTTTCCAAGGCCCTAGAGATGATCTTGCTTGATCCTCTCTTTTTGTTTTGTAAATATACCAATAGTGTTCCCTGGAAAAGGTGCAGTCATTCACAGAAAGCAAAATCAGGTATCCTGTTTCCCAACAGAACCCTCCCCTTTCCACCAGTCTGTTAATTACTCACTTTGGGGACTTATACTTTTCTGGAATTTTATTTCTGGATGCAGTGAACAGGTTATGCCTGAATAGGCCTAATCAGCAACTATCTTAGGGAAACACACACTTGCTACAACCTTCAGAACATACTCCCAGGAGTTACTGTATGGTATTCTCAGGGGCAGGCCTGCGCTAGCCTGCAGTTTATGGGTTGCTAGGAAGTCTGGTGGCTTCTGCCAGTTCTGAAAGTCACCTGTGACTTTGCATTCTCTGGCACTTGTTTCTTGTGCAGCTCTTATTATTATATGACTCATATGGTGTCTTTCATTTCAATTAAATGAAAGGGACTTGGGTGACTCATGCAGAGCAGCAAATGGGCATGAAGTGTGTGGAGTAGTTTACCACAGAGGGAAATGTTTTGAGTTTTAAGAAAGGAAGACTTAAGATAAGAGGCAGAATTCTCAGGATCTTAAGTTACAGCCTTCCCAAGGCATTAATATTCAACATTTATTGTTAAATCCAATGTTTGGCTAAGCCATTTTATGGTTTTGGGACAAATATTTTTCACTGGTATCTGACCACCTTTTAAAAAATGAACTTTGCATCAATTTTTAAATAAATAGGACCAATCCTGGAGTCTCCTAGAATATTGAACCTTTACATTTACGTGATATTTTATCATGTTTTAATGCAGATTATTTGATCTTTAAAAAACCCTATAGGTTGATATTTTTATTGGCCCTATTTTATAGATAAGTTTATAGAAATGTTGCAAAGGTTTAGAGATTCCCAAAGGTGTCTTAAGTGAACTAAAACTGCAGAATACAAAATATGGGCTCAAGAACAGACAGGCAGACAAAACAAAACCCCCAACTCTATACCATAGCTCTTTATATAAGCATCTTAGTATGGAACACATGTCAAATTTGATTTTGAGCTCTTTTTTTGCCCTACCAAAGATACCAGAAATTCTGGAAGGTTTTGTTGGGGGAATAGCCTCTCCTGATTTACAGGATGGTCTAAATAGTAATGTTCCAAATTGGAAGTGGTATTGATCAACAGAGGACTAGGCAGAACTTCTCTTTGCATTCATAAACTTTTTTTAGAAATCCATTTTTTTTAATTGCACCTTGGTCTATCTTAGCAAGTGTGCCTTTTTCCTACACAAAAGAGAATCAAATTCTAGACTCCTACTGTCAAAGTCTGAATGGATATAAGTGCATTAGCCAATACTGCATTCTATGCAATGTTGGAAAAATCAGATAAACCCTGTAGGTAAAAGTACTTTTGCAAACTCTATGTGGATGAGACTGCCATCTTCAGATGACAAGGAAGTCAATATACTTTTGTAAATGAGCAAGGAATGTCCAAAATATGTTTATATTTAGGAAGGGCTCACAGACACATGAGAGAAGTAATGAGAGCTGATTCATGACATCAGACATCTTCTCAACCCCCATCAAATTATTGTATTCTCATAATTCCTCTCACTAAACATGACATGCATTTTCCTATACCTTTAAAACCATGTAAGTTTAACTTTAGGTGGTTGCATAGGTAAAGTCTTATTACTCTTGTAATTTTTTACCCTTGTCCAGAGCTTTCTGAGGGTTTAAGGTGCTCATGAGGTAAGACCATTCATGGATGGGGCTGCCTGAGCCACTTTCCCTAAGGAAAGGGGCTCAGGATTGAAAAAATGATCAAATGATCTTTTTAGGGAGTAGTAACTATATCAAGATACAATAGGCAAGACTAGTCTTGAAAGGTCAAGGCTTAGAAACCCCACTGCATGGTTCTTCTTTATCAAACAAAATAATTTCTTATTAAAAATGACATGTTATTATAAAATTTGCAGAGATCATGTAGTTTTGTATCAAACCCAGGCCTCCAATGTTCCAACATGTTGTTAGCATGTGCTGTGGATGTAGACACTGCGTGTGGAAAGACACAACACTGAGGAAGAGGAAGGGCCTTTTGGAGACTGTACCTGGTGAGTGCATATTGGTGTGGGGAAAGCACGTGATCATGCAAGTATAGGCCTAGGGGTCCCAATATGGGGGTCCAGAAATTCTCTGTTATGAATTTTTCAGGATCAATTAATCTTTGGGGATATAAATCATAATGCCTTAACTTAAAGAGACT